CCCAGTGAGAATAGTAATATATTTTCACTGCTCGCTTTCCCCGCACAATACCTTTGATTGAGGGAATTCAGATTGGGGATAAATAATTTTCAGCCCCGGCGGACTCCGGCTCCTTAAACAGCACCATAGGCAGAAAATATTACAAAGACTTCATGACGATCAGACTTCAAAAGCGAGAATCTTCTCTCTCTCTCTCCAATACTCAGAAAAACCCCTCCCTTGGAAAATGATGAAAAGCTAAAAGGTTGCTCTTAAAGCAATATCGTGAAAACATGCGCGTTACATCACCAAAAGCGTCTTAATAAGCACGCTAAATGTCCAAAGCACATTTCCACGTTGCTTTACCCAAAATGGAGGTATTTTGCCCTACCAAAGCATATCGTGCACTGCACCCAAAACGAGCTTTTGTTTCGAATAACCAAATGAAAGCTTGCCCCAGCAAAGGAATATCCACTTCGCTTCACGCAAAGTGAGCGTTTGTATCTTGTGACAAAATTAAATCGTACCTCACCAAAGAATGATCTTACACGTTACTGCACCCTTGAACACAAACACAAAGATAGTCTTGCCGGATTAAAAACAAACAACTTCACCCAAAGCACGCGACTGCAAATGCACTCATGCTTCACCAAAAACAACGATTAAACCATGCACGACCCAACGTGTAAATAAGAATAATACTGACGGACCTCAAATCCGCAAACAAACAAATCCGTTGAATATACCTACACCATGCCCAAAGAACGATGAGCAAGCTCGCGAGTAAAACTAGGCAGAAAACCACAGGACAATAAGAACAAACTAACCGAAAAGAAATGCACCCTTGAAGGCATCGAAAAATGAAATACCAAAGGTAGGGAAATATAACGAGAAAACCCAATAAAAATTGGCTTATAACGCCGCTTATAACTAAGCAAATGTATGGGCCTACAAAATGCCTAACTGAAAGCAGCTGATGCGAAGATAAACAAGACAAAGGCTCAAAAAGAACATACCGTTTCTCGGTATGAAAACAATACGTAAACAGAGTTAAAGCAAACGTAATCGCTCCACCAAGAGTAATAGAAGAAAAAAAATTATACAGTGTTTCAATAGAGCAAAACAATTGTACAGTCAAATGCAAATCCAACATAACACCGTATTGTAATCCATTGAATACAATGGACAAGCTATAATTGCTGCGAACAATTTTAGCGACCCGCAAAAACAAAAACCTTGCTACTTATGGGACATGTACGAACAACTCAGTGAAACAGCTAGGACAATACAAGCAGCATTAAAATAAAATTAGAAGTGATCTCGTTGTAAATAAGACATGTGTGCGTCGCGTAACATTAACTGAAAGCAGTGGATAACAAACAAACCACTTGATTATCGTGAATTTTAACTTGAAATGGCCACACTGGCACTCGCCTGGATGTACACTGCAGATATTGCACGCCACGCAAATATAGGGCAAAAGATAGGGACCTCACCAAATGTAATAAGTGCCAAACTAAAGAATTTTGGTTTACAAATGCGAAAAATGCAACTTGCTTAAGCCTTAACCAAAGGTCACAAGAGATTAAATGTAGTAGCTTCACCAAAAGCAAATAGCTCAAACATACGCGCACGACAAAAACAAAGGACAAAAGTTCATAGGCTTCACCAAAAGCCGAATGGCTAAAATTAATGTAGGTGCTTCACCAAAAGCAACAAATTAAGGACATGCGCTTCACCAAAAGCACCAAGTCAAATTAAGGTATTCGCTTCACCAAAAGCAACAAATTAAGGACATGCGCTTCACCAAAAGCCACAAGTCAAATTAAGGTATTCGCGTCACCAAAACCAACAAATTAAGGACATGCGCTTCACTAAAAGCAACAAGTCAAAGTAAGGTATTCGCTTCACCAAAAGCAACAAATTAAGGTAAATTGCTTCACCAAAAACAAAAATTCCACTGCATTGTCCATGCCAAAAGCATGCAATATACGGTAGCACAATATTGCTCTTCACCGAAAGCAATATAGTTAAAATGCAAAAGCAAAATAGTCCAAAGACAAAGTAGAAAAATTGCCTGCCCCAAAACAATAACACAAACGGCATAGCGATGGCAGTCAAAGGGGGAAAAATGCTTATAGACTTATGAAAGCAGTCAAACTCTGGGAATCATATAGTACGTCTCCAGCACGCGCCTGAATACGAGAACACGTCATAGACATGTGTAGGGTTGTTATTAGTGTACCCACCTCGCCAAACCGCACATTAAGAAAACGCGATAACAACCGAGTTGACAAATAATGAGGCGGAACCTAAAAGAAATTGCCAGCCAAGAACCACCTGAACGAGGGTTAGAATAAAACTCGAAATGGCCGTGAAATAACGGCATCGTTTCAAAACGAGCGAGTAAAATACAACCAACGCAAGTTGATGAATATATATGTATAGATATATATTAGGGAATGTTGAAAGCCTTAAATTAAGATACCCGGGCAGTAAATATATGTGCAAACAAACATTACGATGGCAGTAGAAAATGTAAAACGCTTATAGGCTTATGAAACAGTCAAACTCTGGGAATTATACGCATCCAGCACGCGCCTGAACACGAGAACACGTCGTAGACATGTGTAGGGTTTTGATAAGTGTACCCACCTCGCCAGACCGCACATTAGGAAAACGCAATTGACAACCGAGTTGACAAATAATGAGGCGGAATCTGAAAAATATTACCAGCCAAAAAACCACCGGAACGAGGGTTAAAAACCTCGAAAAGTGGCCGTGATATAACGGCGTCGTTGCAAAAACGAAGAACGAGTAAATACAACCCACGCCAGTTAAAATATGCGGGAATGTTGAAAACCTTAAAAGATACCCCAGCAGTAAATGTAGAGGCAAACAAAACATGCATGCATGAACAAACCTAATGACCATGAAAAATGACTATATATATATATATATATATATATATATATATATATATATATATATATATATATATATATATATATATGCATACAGAAAGACTCTAAACGAATGTAACAGTGAGAAAATAAAACAAAATGATTTCTAAAACCACGAGAAAGAGGACAGAACATGCACAGCCAAGAGGAAAATAGAACACAGTAGCCAAAGGGAAAACAAAGCATGCACATTGTAGGGCTACAATTACCTTGGTCTTTGGAGGAGTGTGAGCAAAAGCAGTGACTAACGCACTACGGTGTGGCATCCAAAACAACTATGAACACCTGTGAATAAACAACACGCGTAGGCTACTATGGACCAAAAGCTTAAGCTAATACATTTAAGCGCATATACCCAGTCACACGCCTGAGTACACGTTTCCAGAACGTATCTGCAGCAAGACCACGTCGTAGACATGTGTAGGGTTTTGATTAGTGTACCCACCTCGTCAGACCGCACATTAGGAAACGCTGAAACCCCGCGAGAGAACAAAATATATGCAATGGACAACGTTAGGCTTTTGTGCATTTAAACTCGCTAAAATGTCGTATTAATACTGATCCATTTAAATAGAAACGAACGAGCAAAATACAACTAAGTGCCAGTGAAACTCGACAAGTAATACAACAGGTATGACTTAAAAACCTGTACCTAAGAAAATGTGTTGAAAATACGAAGAACACATGCATGCAGATGCGGAAAAGTACAGGTTGAACGTTAACAATTAGACTATTTTAGAGCCTTATCTGCTTGCAGAATTTGTGGTGGTTGCAAGGCGATGTGTAATAAAAATGCCATTGTAACAAATTGTACGTGATACCAAAGAAAACTTAATAGGCTCGAAACTCGCGGAGACGACCCACTTAAATTCGGTAGACAACAAATAGATACCTGATTCCAAGTACTGCCGGTTGAGGAGGACGATCAATTTACATCAATGCTAGATATACCATGACAAGTCAAATTGTATGGTGAGCGTTATCGTGCTTCTGTGTAAGCAAGCCATTTCGTTAAATTCCCAAGGCCGGGTTCGGCTGCGACACGTGTGAGAATATGGTCACTTATAGAAAGTTCTATTATCCCTGAATTTACGATCTTTGATGGAGCGTTTGTAACACAAAGATTAATAAGGGTAGAGGAATATGGTGTAGTTCTGGTAGGATCTACAATAAGTTGTTTTAAGCCAAAAATTTCGAATATATTATTCAATTTATTTCCATTGACTGATGTTACACCCGGCATAAGATCCAGTAGGAAATAGTCATGATTTGTCGCATCAACTTTCTCTACTATTTTCTCAAAATGATCAAAATGGCACACTGGTGAGTCTGGGGGCCTATACCAGGTACTAATTAATAGTGATCTAGTTCGAGGTTTAGTAATTTCCACAGTTAGATACTCTAATTCATCAGAGCTTAAATGTTTACAAATTTTGTAGTTAAGATTGCATCTTACATAGATATAAACACCACCCCCATGTCGCCCATTTTTTTTTCTATCCATTCTTACTATTTCATAACCAAGTATATAAACCTCATCCTTAATTGAAGAATCAAGTTTTGTTTCATTGATTGAAATAATATCAATATCAGATTCATTCATAAAAACTCGAAATTCATCAATATGCGCTGAAAGACTATTAATATTTCTCTAAATATTAATCACTAAAACTAAATCACTAAACTAAACCTTTACCAAACGGTTCATAATTAATATCAAAACACTTACGGCTTATATCCGCCAGCACAGGTTCAGACTCCCGCCCGGCATTTTCTTTATCGTTAAAATGAGTCATTCCTGATGAGTTTAATTTGTTGGATGGCGATTCAAGCGAGAAATTAGCTTCAACAGTTCCTCCAGCTGGTTTATGGTTCCCGTTTGAAAAACCTATATTGAAAACAGTCATTCAATTCTATTCAATTCTAAGTTTGATGAGATGTGAAGGGAATTAAGTGTTTTGGGATTAAATTAATTGTTTCCTTTTGTTTGATAAATATGCTGAATATGCTGAATTTTTTTGCGAAGAGAGGGCGAATAGGTCGCATTTTGCCACTGTGATGGAAGGTGTTAGCCGGTACATAACACCTTTGACAGCAGAGGAAGAGCGTCTTTTGGTTGCCAGTACTATTCCGAAGAATACAGGATATAATATAAAACGGGCAGTCAATGTTTTCGAACCATGGCAAAGTTGCCGAGAAGATAAGACTGTTAGGAATGTGCCTTCAAGTTCAGTGAACTTACAAATATGTCAAGTCGGAGACTTGACTACACCACTACACTGTATGAATACAGAAACATTAAATCTGTGGCTGAGTCGGATTGTGGAAGAGGTTTGCAACGCGAAGGGGGAAAGATATCCAGCACGAAGGTTGTATGTTATAATTTGCAGTTTGAAGCGATATTTGAGCGATAAAAGTGGATTGGATCCACTGTTTAAAGACGATAAAAGGTGCATGAGTAGGCAGCATTTTAAAATGGTTGACATGACAAAACTAATAAATTGGTGTGGCTGGTTTTAATCGATCTTTCTTCTAAAATCTCTGTTTTGTATTTTAAGGTTCACGTTATTTCGCAAAGTTTTTGACGGCGAAGTGAGAGATGCTGCAAAGAAGGGAGTTGAAGTGAAATGTAGAAAGGATCTTCGCGGTGAAATTAGTGTCGAAGAAGACGGACTCTATTGGACAAAGGGACTGTTGTGGTGTGATTCAGCTGAGTGTCTGTTAAATACGATTTATTTTTATAATGGAAAGCTTTTCGGTCTAAGATCAAGCGAGCATAGGCTCATCAGAGTTTCAAATATTGCAGTAAAAGATAACTTTATAATTTTTGACGAAAGTGTGTCAAAGACGTTTCATGGAGGGCTAAAGGATTTAAAAAAGAGTAAAAGGCTTATTGAGCATAAATGCCAGGAAATAGGCGAGGAGCATAGTCGTTGTTTAGTGAAGTTTTATAGTTTGTGTTTGGAAAAAATAGCTATGTGCATTGAGGCGAAT